CATTTAGGTTGTAGTGTTAAATGTGATTGATAACACCTGCTTAACAGATAAGGTACCTACTGCTGGTATATAGTGCTGGTAAATCCAGCAATTTAGTGTATTTTCACTGCTTTCAGAACAGGCAGATCTAAATAAACTACTTTTATTTTCTAGAGACCATAACTAGCACATTCTGTCAAATTAAGACATAAATTATGGCTTAGGAACAAATTTGACAAGATTCCTAACTATAGATTGTTTATTTATAGCATATTAGTGTTTGATATGCATACAAAATATAACATTTTTTCTAAATCTAACTGTGTAAATTGATTTCCATCATTCCAATGGATAACTTGTTCCTATTACATCCAGTGACATATGGAGGATCTAATTCTATCAGTATATCTAAAGTTCAGTAAGGCATTGCAGCATTTATATTGAGTTTTTTGTCATTCCTGTGATATAGTATGTTGTGTGCGTTTACTGGTTTCTTTAAGTGCACATGCAGAAGTATTTATGACACCAATGATAAGGCTTCCTGTTCAAAGCCTCGGCATGCAGAGACGAGACAGAGACCTTGAGATAACTAGAATTATGTTACCCCATGCAGAAGCGGCCCGCTTTTCAAAAGAAACACTCGATTGACTCATGACTGGATTCAGAAGTTGTCCACACTGTGGCAAGAGTAAAAGAGGAACGAAGATGTGATCTTCACTCAGAAGCGGACACAGCCACTAGTTTCTTCTGAGCTGTCAAAGTCGCTTCCTTCGCACAGGGACTCCTTCAAGAAACGAAAAGAAAAAAAAACCCCTCAGTGACATTCACAAGTCAGTTTTCTGCAGCAGCACATTCTCAACTAACAAGCCACTAACAGCGACATAGTCCAGAAGTTGTGTTTTGAGACAGCTCCATTAATATGTTATCAATATCTAATTAAGGTTTAATTATATAGTGCGTTTCTAAAATATAATCTTATATACTCAACAAACACCACTGGATTTTCATGATATAATACATGTTGAATAGTCGTCTCTCATTAGTTTTAATAAAATTGACTGCATCTATTAAAATACCAAAGAATCAGTATATGACAAAGTGTTTCTGATAAGGTCGCTGTGATGAAACAAAGCTGATATCAACTATCACTGTGCAAAGGTAATGGAAGATTAGAGAACCCAAAGACTGATAACCACAAAGAATAGACCACTGCGGCAACATATACTGATATGGGTTACAATGAAATGAGTTGAAATACGGCAATCAAAGGTTGACAACAAGTTTCCAAAAATACTTACAGACAGCTGCCTCCTATCCGAGTCTGTAAAGACAGGGTTGGAGCAAGAGAAGGAAGGGAGAGAGAGAAAGAAAGATAGAAATGTGGAGAGGGACTGAAGCACTACACCCACAACGCAAGCCCAACAAGTACACAACACATACAAATATGAATATGCATTTTAAAATATTAACATTTTCAAACTGAAGTGGTTAATGTATTTGGGGGAATAAATTATATTTTTTTAGCAGAAAGCTGACATTTCACAGATTATTTTGGGGTTTTAATCAAACTGAATCATCACTTTGGGTTTTTTAACAGTTACGAGATGATTAGGATGTGCGTCTGTCTTTCTGATGTTTGTGTGTCTTTTTCTTAACTCCACAAGGAGCTTTCCTTAGTAAAGAGTAGACATGCTGTCCTGCATATTCAAGCTGTCAACAGCCTGGCGGTGGGGCAGACATCATGCAGCACAAACATATGACAGAAACAACATTTGAAGAAAGGAGCAATCCATTCAAGACCCAAAACATGCCCTGAGAGGAAAAGATAGATGGTGGGGGTGGATGTCATGTATGCTGATTGCAACACAGACACCAAAATTATCAAGAGGATCCAAAACTGAGGTGAGAAAATGCCAAACACATGATTACAACTGTGGCGGGACCAATTACGGAAAGACGGTGTGATTTCGAGGGGGATCCTTTAACTATCTCACTAACTTGGCTTTGCCGTTCCTCTGGCATCAAAGCGGATGGGGTGGGGGCAAGCGGTAGCCAGGGCTGGTTGCCTGCGCTGTAGAGCCTGGGCCGCTTGACCTGGTCATGACTGGACAGGGGAGTGTAACTATTCCGGCGATGTATGAGAGTAGAGTCCTTCGGGATTTTACCCTGGTAGAAAATGAGATACCGCAGGTGTTAAACAAAAAAGATCTTTAAAAAAACAACACCAGGGGGCACCTGACGAGGAACAGCCCAAAAAATTTATTAAAAAATTGCTGCACTCGCCAAACTCATCCAAAGCAAAAGGTAAGGAACTGCTTCCACCCACAAAACATCAGTCAACAGCAAAAGCTCAGCCCTGATTGCACAGGACAAAAAACCCCACCTGCTTCAACCAAAACCATGACAACACTGGACCTAAACAAGTCAGATAAAACTGCTTTCACAGAAAATACATAATCTTAATATGAGGACAGACTGTAGAGTAATGACAAAGATTAGATCATCCAAGCAAAATAAGCATGCTCAGCAATGTCTTCCTTCAAGGTAAAATATCACTTAACATTCACAGGCTCATAAAGCAAGCCAAGCTGAGGAATTAAGGCTAAAGGTAAAAGTGGTTACAAGACAAGGATATAAGGAAAGGAGGCAAGGAAGCAAAGCCTAATATATACAGGGGGTAAGGTGTGATTGTGCCAAATGAACAGACACAACAAACAACAGCGCATCTTAAAATTATATGCTGAGATTCAGTGACCAATTTAGTGCGAGTAAACAATATGCATATTTTACAAATGACCAACTTTAAACATTCAGCGGAACAGTGATGTTCGCCTACTTGTGCAGCTATGTGATTTTCTTTTCCGCTCATTTCAGAGCAACTTACAAGAGGCCGGTCTCGGTGCGTGTTTACTGCCTCCACATTCAGATAAAACATTTCCACTTTACAACCTACAAGATAAAAGACAATGCATTTACATTATCTTCTCACGTTGCCTTATGTTGTTACAGTGTAACGATTGTCAGGTAA